TACTGCATTCCAAGTTTTATCCTTTTACAAATGTTTACAAGTATTTTTTTATTAGATCATGGGGATCATGCTATGTATTGGAGGGGGCAAAGTTCAATCTACGACAAAGGATACTTTTCTGTATGGATGGCAGATATTTTCACGCCTTATTTAGGATAAAGTACAAATTTGATTTCATTTTAAGTCAAATAGGTCAAGTGTTATTGCTGTTAGTTGCCAATGAGTTGACTATGACTCTTACGACACTATGAACAACAGATTCAAACTTTCAGCTTCATCTTCTCTGTCATGTTCAAGTCCATTATGGTAGCCATTGCCTCAATCCATCTCACTGAAGATCTTCCTCTCTTTTTTGGATCTTCTTGGGCAATGACTAGGGAAGATAGAGGGGGAAACAATGCCTTTGAGCTGTGGAGCTGGAGAAGAGTATTGAATATACCATGGACTGCTAAGAAAATGAACAGGTTCATCCTGGAGAGAGTTAAACCAGGCTACTCCTTGGAGACAAGGATTCTGAAGCTTCATCTGACATACTATGGACATGTTGCAAGGAGGGACCAGTCCTTGGAGAGGGACGTCATGCATGGGAGGGTGGAGGGATAGCACAGGAGAGGAAGACCCTCTCTATGAGGTAGATTGATTGAGTGACTGGGGTATTCAGGGTAGGTGTGTTGGAGACAGTGAGACTGGCCAGGGATAGAGCAGGGTTTAGGGTTGTTGTACATAGGATTGTTATGAGTCATTGGCAACTCAATGGCACATAACAACAACAACAACCTTTCCAACATGATGTCTCTCCAAGGACTGGTTCCTCCTGAATATAAGCTAAAAGTCAGTTTCACCATCCTTGCATGTAAGAAGCACTGTGGTAGTGCCTTCTTCAAGACATATTTGTTTGTCCTTTTGTCAGTCTATATGTGAAATGGAAATTTAGGTTTTGATTTGCTGGTAAGGGGCTCAGCATGACCTATTCCATCTGAAACTAATTTAGTCAAGCTAACAATTTCTGCCCTTTTGACCATACTCTCAGTTAATTGTGGGATGCAATCAAATTTTATGAAAGAATAACACTGCCAACATATTGATGCTCAGGTCAGGTTGCAATGGACTCTTCATAGACTACTATTGGTTGCACTCCATCTAATTAATTCTAATTTATAACAACTCTATGTGATAGGGTAGAAATATTCCATAAGGTTTTCTAGGCTATGGTTGTTGTGTTTTTTTTTTTTTAACTGTAGTTTGAGTGAAAGTTTACAGAGGAAAATGGTTTTCAACTCAACCATCTATATGCATTTTGTTCTATCACATTCATTCCACTTACATTGCAGCCACCTTCTTTGCATAGTGCATCTCTCTCTTTTCCTCTCATCCATCACAAAAAATATCTATTATTTATTTAATGATTTTTTTCTTTCTTCTCTGTCCTCTCCCATCCATGGTAACCATTGAAGAACGTTTCTTCCTGAGTGTAAACATTTTCTTAGCTTTTCATAATACCCGTTGTTGTGTTATGATGTGCTTTCAAGTTGAGTACAACTCATAACCACTTATGAACCCTGTCCTTGACAGCAGACTTTCCCAATACAATACAATACATCTTTTAATTTCTTGACTGCAGGTGCCAAGGGTGTGAATACCAGCCAGATGAAATAGTTGACAACTTAATCTTTTCTCTATTATTATGTTGCTTATTGGCCCAGTGGTGAAGATTTGTCTTCTTGATGTTGAGATGTGATCCATATTGAAGGCTTCGATCTCCTGCAGCAAGTGCTTCAAGTCCTCCTCGCTTTCAGTATGGAAGTTTGTCTGCATAATGCAGACTGCTGTTGAGTCTTCCTTCAATCCTGATGCCACATTCTTCTTCAGAGTCCAACTTCTTGAACGATTTGCTCAGCATATTGAACAGGCAGGGAGAAAGGATACAAGCCTGATGTTTTCCTTTTTTAATTTGAAACCATGTAATGTTCGTTCTTTGCTCTGTTTGCACAATAGCCTCCTAGTCTAGGTCCATGCTTTGCATATGCACAATTAAGTGTTTTGGGATTCCCATTCTTTTACATATTGGCCATAACTTGTTATCTGTTTGGCTATAACCATGGAAATGAGATGACCAGGGCTTGCTTTCATAGAGCAAGTGGGAGGGTTCAAACCGTTAAGCTCTAGGTTAGCATCTCTAGGCATCCTTAGGGGTTGAGGTAGACCCTTCATTTGTTTCCCTTTTAGCCAGACAGTGTAATCCAAAGAGGGCTGCTGACCTTTCAACCTGCTGGAGCCACACTTCCTGTGGAATTCAAATTTAGGATTACTTGAAAAGGTTCTCAGATTTGGAAGTCTAGTTAAATTTTGTTTGGATGAAAGGGGCAAGAATTTGGAAGAGAAAAAAAAGTAATCCCACTGACCTTAGAAGCTATGACTCAGAACATTGTCTTTTTTTTTAGGAACATTGTCTTTTAAAAGTGTATTCCCTCAATCAAAGATGGTTTGCAGGGAGGCCCACTCTGCAGCTGGTGAGGGGAAAGTTTCTTTGAAGTATTTCCAAAGATTTTTTTTTCTTCCAGGCAATGCTTATCTGATTTCTCTTTGTGGGTTAGATTGTTTTGGTCCTAATAATTGTTCTGAAAAAGGAATGACTATTATCTACAAAAGTTATTTCAAACACTCCTTTCAAGTCCTCTTTCTTTGGAAAAAGTAAGACCATGTAACCAGAACATTTGTTTGCACAGTCATTATTTTCTTAAATGACTCCCAGTGTGTTTTCAGACAAGTAACTCCTTTTCCTCGTAATTTGTAAGGAGGGTGGCAAATGTAGTGGTATTGTCTCAAGTAATGAATGTTGAGCCAGACAGGTGCTAATTCCCACAATGGCTAATTTGCCTTCTGAAGACTGGCAATCCCTAAAATAGCTTAGCATAACTGAATCAAGGTTATAAATGATAAGAATTTATACAAGGCCTAAATTCTTTTTTTTTTTTATTTTTTTTGTGTGCGTGTACCGTCAAATCAGATCTGACCGGTACAGGAGGAGATTGTCCCTCCTTCCCTGGCAGAGCATCTGGTGGATTCAAACCGTGCACCTCTGGGATTGTAGTTGCAGCTTCTTACCACTAGGCCACCAGAGCTCCCCGCAAGGCCTAAATTCTTAGGAAAGAACTAAAGTGAATGCAGAGTTGAAGCTCCAGTAGTAGTACTTAAGCCTTGGTTCAACACTGACTTTAATAAGATTACAAACAAGTGAGATTCTTTCTTGAAGAATTTGATGTCATTTCTTGGAATTTTTTTTTCTTTTCTTAATTTTTGTGTTTGTACCATCAAATCAGATCTGACTAGTACAGGAGGAGATTGTCCCTCCTTCTACAGCAGAGCATCTGGTGGATTCGGACCGCTCACCTTTCGGATTGCAGGGCAGCTTTTTGCTACTAGGCCACCAGAGTTCACTGGTTTCCTGGAATTTTTTTTAAAGCAGAGTTTTCTACTTGATATTTTAATTTTCTTTGATCTGGAGACCTAAAATGTTTTCTTCTTCTTCCTCTTGGAAATGAATCAAGAACTTGACTGGCTACCAGAAGAACAAATCTATTTTGAAGTACAGCTAGACAGCTCCTTAGATACCTGGATGGCAAGACTTCTTGCCATGTACTTTAGACATGCTATCAGAAGAGGCCAGTCTCTGGGGAAGGGCATCATGCTGGGTGAAATAAGTATGGTTAGATGTCATCAAGAAGGCTATAATTTATAGTGACCCTATGAACAACAGATCTGGACTTTGTCCTGTCCTGGACCATCCCATCATCTCTGAAAAACCATTATTACTGTCACCTTGTCATCCACCTTGTTGAGGGTCTTCCTCTCTTTCTCTGACCCTCCAACTTCCCCAGCATGCTGTCTTTTTCCAAGGACGGGGCTTTCCTGACAACATATCCAAGTTATGTGAACTATGTTTCACCATGCTGGCCTCTAAAGAACACCCTGGTTGCACTTCCTCCCAGATAGATTTCTTTGTTCTTTTGGCAGTCCATGGGATATTCAGTGAAGACATTTGAAGATGTATTGGGAAATCTGCTATCAAGGACCTCTCCAAAGTGCTGAAGAGCAAGGATGTCAGTTTAAAGATTAAGGTGCACCTGAACCAAGCCATAATTTTTTCCAATTGCTTTTCTTTTTCAAATGCTTCTTAAACATCTGAAAATTGGACAGTGAAAAGGGATGGCAGAAGAATTGTTGATGACTTTAAATTGTAGTGGTAGAGAAGAGTACTGAATAATCCAAGAGTTTAAAAAAAAAAAAGGAAACCCCTCAGGGACATGGCCTGATCCCAGTGGCTGTACCAAAGGGCTTCAAACAAAGCAACAGTTGTGAGGATGGCAGTGTTTTCTTTTGTTGTACCTAGCAACTAAAAACAACAACAATTCTTCATAATATTATCTACATTTAAAAATAAGGCCAAAGTGACTTTGGGGCTTGGCATGTTTACTAAACAGAATGTCCCATGTTCACACAGTCTAACCTAGTTATCTATCTAAAAGCTGTCATTTCACTGAGAAAAAGACATGGTTTTAGGGCAGACAATACAAATTACTTAACCAATTCCAATGCTCTGCCTATTTGTATACATAGAATTTTCAGGAAAACATGTTCATTTGTTTACCCTTTATCTATGGGTGTTCTTTTGTGCACCTGCAGCGAAGTTGAGTGGTTGTGAGTGAGGCCATGTGGCCCACAAAAGTGGAAATACTTACGTCTGGCTTTGACAGAAAAAATATGCTTATCCCTGATCTTGGGAATCCAGTTGTCCCCACTTGTCCATCCCCTGACCAGTGTGTCTGTCAATCTAAATGTGAGTGAGGATGTCATATAAAGTATCAGATGAAGAAATCACCATGATGACAGCCATTAATCCTGAGGTTTAATAAAATAAGCAATTAGCATTCTTAATGACCAGGAGCCTGAAAGGAAATACACAGGAACTTTATTTTTAGAACGTTTAAATGAAAAAACAATCAGAGTGGAATCTTCTTCAACTTAAGCTTTTCTTCTACATTTGAAAAATATCTCATTTTTGTTAAAATTTCCTTGGCTTTTTCAAAGTCATCTGAAATAAATAGAGACACTGATGTCAGGTTTCATTTCAAACAGGAATCTAACCAGATCTGTTGACTGAGGCAGTAAGATCAAAGCCGAGCCCCAGCTTCTGGGAGATCCGTCAACCACTCAGTAAATCTGAACAATGGACAGGGCAGCCATTTGGGCTGTTAAGTGGGCAAAAGTATTACTCAAAGGCGGCAAGAGTAGACTAGCTGACAGGCTATTGTTAAGCATCACTGAGTCGACTATGACTCACAGTGACCCTGTGAACAACAGATCTGAACTATGCCCTGATTCTCATCATCTGTCCCAATGTCCTGCTGTATCACAGCATATAGACTTCAAACAAGATTGATTGCCCTTCAGGATGGTCCTCAAATAATAAATGGGTGTGCTTTAAAATGATTCCATTTCATACACGGTGGTAATAGAGCTATGAAAAGGGTGACAAGCCATATCTTTACCAGATGTTCAGGGACAGGCTACATACATTTTGGGATCGATGTCACAGACTGATGGTCTTTAAATAGTCCTTCAGTATGCATACCCATGTGCTACTTGCCCTTCAAGGGAAGTTTTGGGATGTTATAAATCACAAGGGAGGCAGACTGACCGTTAGTCTCCCGAGTAGCACCTAGTGGATACAAAGTGCCCACCTTTGGGTCCATCACATAATTCCTTACCCACTGGGCCACCAGAGCTCGCATAATAAGTGTAAGGTCCTCATATAAAAGTAAGCAAAAAATTAAGTCCCAGAGATTATGTAAGGTATAGTTCCATTAAAGAAAATTTAAAAATCATGCAAAACAAAATAATATATTGTTAGATTCACATAGGAGGAGGCCTGGTGGCACAGTGGTTAAGTCTCTGGCTGCCAACCAAAAGGTTAGCGGTTCAAAGCTACCAGTTATTCTTTGGGAGAAAAATCTGGCAATCTTGTGTAAGAATATATGGCCTTGGGGATCCTAGGAGGCAGGTGTACTCTCTCCTACGGGGTGGCTTGAGTTGGAATTGACTCAAGGACAGTATGTTCGGTTTTAACATACAGAGGGTTGCAATGGAGAAGTTAAGGGATTGAGAACACAAATTAGGAGCGTGGCTACCATGGAGAGGGTCTACGGGGGTTTGAAAAGACCAGGGGACATGCTCTGTTTTTTATCAGAAGCTGTAGCGCCATAGTTTTTCTGTCCGTACTTTTTCAGTACTTGTCGCGGTGCATAAAATCAATTCCAGTGGGTTTTCAGAGGCTTTAACATGTTGCCGCAAATGATGCCAAGAAAAATGTTTCTAAGCACAGTTGTCAATTTAAGTGTGCGGCAACATGTTAAACTGATTGGAAGGGATGCCTATCTTTCACCTTTCTTTCTTTTTTTATAAAAAAATTTTGGTTGTGATTTTAACCAATATTTACAGAGAAGTTAAGATATTCATTCATTCTTGCACATTTTACCCCCTTGCCTTTCTCTCCCCCTCCTCCAGTTCACTTAAAAAACCCCCAAAACATTCCATTTCCTCCTATCCCCGTCCTCTCTGCAATGATATTATCTCTTATTCTGGGCTGTTATCATACATAAAATTCCCAATCATATAGGCCATCTTTCTCAGCCTTAGGGCTGAAAGTGCAACTTCTTACCACTCGTTCACCAGAGTTCTTTTCAATACTCATTTGTTCTCTCTCCTTTTTGGTTTTATTTCATAATGAAAGAAATGTCACTGTCAAGTTCATTCTGATGCACGGTGACACTGCTGGACACAGAGCAGCCCCACAGGGTTCCCAATGCTCTCTACAGAGCAGAGTGACTGCTGGGCTTGAATTGCTCATCTTTCAGTTAGCAGTCGAGTACTTAATAACGGTGCCACCAGGGCTCCCTCTAAGTACAAAAGTAAACACATACAAAGGTTTGGGGGTGGGCCCTGCTCACCATGGATGTACATCCTAACCAGTGGCTTGAGGACACAGCACTTCAGGAAGATGGGTTGGGCCAGATTAATTTTTTTTTTTTTGCTATTAATCTATATTAAAACCCCTTGGGTGCTATTAATCTATATTAAAACCCCTTGGGAAAGTCAGGGACCTCTCCAGAGTACTGAAGAGCAATGATGTCAGTCTGGAGACTAAGGTGCGCTTGATCCAGGCCATGGCTTTTGCAATTACATGCTATGCATCAGAAAGCTGGACAGTGACTAGAGATGACAGAAGGAGAATTGATGCCTTTGAGCTGTGGTACTGGAGAAGGGTATTGAATATACCATGGACTGCTAGAAGAACAAACAGGTTTGTCCTGAAGAGGGTGAAACCAGGCTGCTCCTTGGAGGCAAGGATTCTGAAGCTCTGTCTGACATACTTTGGGCATATTGCAAGGAGGGACCATTTCTTGGAGAAGACATCATGCTTGGGATGGTGGAGGGACAGTGCAAGAGAGGAAAACCCTTGATGAGATGGATTGATTTAGTGACTGGCATAATGGGGGTAGGTGTATCAGAGAAAATGAAGCTGGCTCAGGATAGAGCAGGGTTCAGAGCTGCTGTACATAGGGTTGCTATGAATCGCAGGTAGCTTAATGGCACATAACAACAACAACAACCCCCAATCCCAAATCCACTTTTCAGAATCAACTCCTACACACCGTGCAAATGTATCCTCTTGGCCTCAAATGACTGGGCTAGGCGCCTACCTCAAACTGGGCAATCACATTCGCTCTTCCAGGAATCTAGAGTTGAGTCTAGTAGATTTCAGAGAGATGGTGAAAGGTCTTCTTCCCTAAAAGGTAAAATACTAAGGAAGATTCACGATAATGCATCCGATGAGGAGGGCCATTCTGGAACAAGTTGATGGGACTGGTTAGCAGAGAGAAGGACAGAATGGCCTTCTCCAGAAGGCTGAGCCCAGGGCTGTCCTGGTTCTTCACTGCTTTCTAGCTTCCAAGTCCTCCTCTGGAAAACTTTTAATCTCACTGTAATGTGACCATTTCGGGTCCTACCTCTCTGAATTCTGGGAGACAGTCCTGAGCCCTTACAATAAGCTCTCTTCATCTAATCAGTCCAGGCATTTTTCTCCTGTATTCAAATGATTGCTAAGTCAAAGGCCTATTATTTCCTTTTAAAAAGAGGTGGCACAGGTCTGAGATGGACAGGAAGGCTGGATCCTGTGTCTTGGGCCTGAAAGCCAGGGTATTGGGGAGTAAGATGAAAATGACATGGATCAGGGTAGAACACTGAGACAGTGCTGAAGGATGGGATCCTTGGTTCAGAAGGCACCCAGAACACAGGATGGCTTCAACAAGACACTTATATTTGAGTGTACCAAGGATTATAAAGATGGTACTGGACTGGGTAATGTTCCAAGGGGTAGCCATGAGTCAGTGCCAACTGAATGGCAACTAACAGGTCCATTTTTGCCTTGGGCATCTGCCTCCTGGGACTTTGTAGAAGAAAAAGGTGTGCAGACTTTGCTAAGTGGTCACTTTTTAGCACTGCCCTCAGGCCTCCCCACCATCCCTTGGCTTTAGTTCAGCATCTCATTTTATCTTCTACTTGTCAAAGGAAAAAAGGACTTTCTCCTGCATAATGTTGAGTAGATGCTTCTTTGTGTTTGGTGCACAACTTATTTTTCCTGTAAGACTGTGACTCCTTCAGGGCAGAAATACAGGAATTACACTATCAACCCAAAGGGAGGCAGTTTGAACCCGCCAGCTGCTCTGAGGGAGAAGTATGGGCAACCTCCCATCATATATACATCCATCCATATATTTATATCTATATACTTATGTATATAAAGGAGCTCTGGTGGCAGAGTGGCAAGAAGGTGCACGGCAATCCCGAAGACATGTGGTTCAAATCTCATCAGCTGCTCCACCAAGATGAGTAATCTCCTCCCATGTGATTAACTGCCTCTGAAAACCGCTGGAGGGTCAGCTATGGGTCAATTCCAACTTGATGGTTACCAACAACATATGTATGTATATGACACATGACACTGCTTGTCGTGTTATTGTAAGCTATAGAACACTGTTTACACTGCTCTTGTAAGCTCATTGCCTACAATTTCTTTTCAAACCTAAGAAAGTCAAGAAGCAAAGAAAATACCTTGTTCAAAGGCCCGGCTTGCGTTGTCAATACATTCTTTCTGTTTGACTGAAAGAGAAAATCATTACTTTTCCTACTCAAGTTGACTCAATATAGGAAAACAATACTTTCTAATCATGCTGGCTTGAATAATCCAAGCAGGAAGCTTTGACTCAAGGGTTACATTTTATAAGTTCTGTTTACGGATAGTGACGCCTGCTCAATGTAGCCCTGACAGACATTAATCCCATCATCTTTTCTATACTGCAAAGGTCTCAGGGGGGCAATCTCTTTAAAGTGAGAGTTAGGAAATCACTGAACGTTTTTAAGCTTGGCAAAGGCTGATGTGTTAGACTTGGGTTTCAAAAAGATCACACAAGTGACAGTATAGAAATAGCACTGGTGATGCTAGAAGGTATTAGTTAGACTTTGTTATGTGCTGGGGAGTTGGGGCTGACTCACAGCTGACCCTCTAGCTGTTTCCAGAGGCAGTAAATTGCATGGGAGGAGAGTGCGTCCTTCACCCTTGGAGCAGCTGGTGGATTTGAACTACATGCCTTTGAGATGACAGCAGAGCCACTCAGCTACCAGAGCTCCCACAGATAGTCAAGAGCTATTGTAGGTATTCAGTGGAGAGAGACTAGTAGCTTGGAACAGTGTAGTGGAGGTGAATATAGATAGCAGGCAGAAAGGAGATAAAAACTGTAAAACTTGTAGATGGTTGTCAAGGATGCCTTCAGCATATTTAGACTTGTGTCAACTCGATGGTGCCATTTGCTCTGAGAAGGAATAAAGTGTCTTTCATTCCCTTCCCCCCCATTTTTTAATTGAGTGGGAGGACACTCAATTCCATTTTGAGCAGGCTGCATTGGAATAGATGAACTCCAAGGAGGCATGGAACATGTCTTGTTTGCTGTTGTATCCTCAGTGGTAAGGACAGTGTGTGGTTCACAGTAAGCACAGTGTAAACCATTTGTCAAAGTATGTAAATGTATGGAGTCCAGGTAAGATCTCTGGAGCCTTTTCTTCAGGAGTAAGTGGAAAACAAAGCCATATGGGGTCCAAAGCTCACAGTCTCAGCCTTTGCTCTGTTACACTATCTGCTATGATTCCCATGAAATTCTCAGATCTGTTTTCCTCACCAAAGATAACAGCATATTCTAAAATGACACCAAAGCAGCTCTGGTAGTCTAGTGGTAAGAAGCTGCACTGCAATCCCAAAGGCATGCAGTTCGAATCCACCAGTTACACTATGGGAGAAGGATGAGCAATCTCCTCTCATAAAATTTACTGCCTCTGAAAACCTGCTGGAGGGTCAGCTCTGGGTCAGTTCAGACTTAACGGCACACACCCACCAGCCCACCAACCACCACAATGACAAAGAGCCCTCTCCAGTCTGTAGGGAGTTGTGCTCCTACTGCTAATCAAAGTCCATGACTTTCTAGTGGATTTGATCCACCACCAGCTCCATGGGAGAAAGGTGGGCCCTCTCCTAGGGAAAAACTTAGTGAAGGGTCAGCTATGTGTTGGTTCCAACTTGATGGCACAGAGAGAGGAAATGAATGACATAATGAGTTGGAAGGAACAAAATACAAAATATAGTCTTTGTGGTGCTGTAGAATTGATCTTGACCCCACAAGCCCCCACCTGACAGAAGAGAAGTTCCCCATGGAGCTTCCTAGGCTTTAATCTTTATTGAGGAAGTTCTGGTGGATTAGTGACAAGAAGTTGCACTGCAATCCCGAAGGCATTAAGTTCGAGGCCACCAGCTGCTCCTCGGGGGAAGGATGCACAATTCCTCCTGTGCAGCCTCTGAAAACTCACTAGAAGGTCGGTTATGGGTTGGTTCTGACTTGATGGTACACCACCACCACCACCACAACAATAACAATAACAACAATCTGTCTTGAAAGCTGACTGCTGGCTTTTTCTCACAGAGCCACTCTGTGGCCTCCAATTGCCAACTTTTAGTTAGTATTAGATACTATCCCATTCTTTTACTGTGATTGGAATGAAGTTTACAAAACAAATTGGCCTCCAACCATTCACATATAGTTTTCTCTATAATGTTCATTTTAATAAACAACTTTAATAAGCAACTGCACTCCTCCCATTTCCACCCTGATATTCTCATTTCCACTAATCTTACCTCCACCTGACGTCTAGGCTTTATATGTGGGCAAATGCTGCTCCTTTGGCCTTCTATAATAATAAGAGCAGCAGTGGTAGAGGGGCTTCAGGCCTTTTGTTCATAGGGTTGCTATGAGTCATGCTCGACTTGAAGGCAATCAACAACAACAATATATAGCAATGATAGTAAAGTAGCATTTGGCACTGCTTTCTTCTTTACCTGTGATGATGGACTCAATCTCATTCATGTCAGCATCACTTTGAGCTTCTGCCAGTTTTTCATTGATCTCCATGATTTCCACGAGGAACTGCTTGTCCATTTCACAATCAGTGCCTTCAGGGATCTCTATTCCCCGGAGCTTTAGCTTTTTGAGGGAAGAAGCAGACAAGTTTGGTTCAACAAACCATGGCCGGAATCCTGTAAAGCTTACTCATGCTTCGGAACATCGCATCACTTATCGGGAAAGCCTGAGCTATCTCAATAATGAAACGATGAGGGTAGGGGGCTGGAAGCCTGATTGAGACAGAGTGCTGGACAGAGCCTCTCTTTGCGTTTCACGGAGCTGTATGACTCTGAGGGGTTACTATCTCACTCCAGAGGTTGAAGTGAATGTTTGTAAAGACTCTATTCAATTCCAAAGTGTCCGAGAGACTAAAATTTCTCCCAAACCAAAAAACTCTCTGTCCTTAAAAGCCACCATCAACATGTTGTAATTTACACAAAAAGGGGGAGAGGATTAGAACCAGAGGAGGCAAGCAATTGGAGCAAATAACACTTGCAGAGAATACTCAAGAGAAAAGGATACTCGTGTATTATCTATGGGGTGAAATATTGGCTCTCTGGACCAGCTCAGGTCTCTAGCACTCTTCTGCTAATGATAGGAGGGGCAGCTGTCCCCAGACACAAGGAGCACCAGGTTGTCACATATAAAAGAGTTGGGAAATCACCTTACAAGGTATAGTCCCCTGCTTAGAGGCGCCAGGAGGGTCTTATAAGCATCATTCACCAGGGTCGAGTGCTTCTCTGAGAAGTCCTTTTCAGTCTGTCAGCAGGAGATGAAGACAGTCTTATGAACATCCATGTTAATCACCTCACATTTACAACTTGTTTTATGAGAAGCTGATGGGTTGTTGCTGTTGTTAAGTGCCATCGAGTGGCTTGTGTCTCGTAGCGACCCTATGTTCAACAGCTCTGAACCCTGCTCTATCCTGTGCCATCCTCATTGTCTCCGACACACTCGCCCCAATTACCCTAGTCACTGAGTCAATTCGTCTCACCCAGGATCTTCCTCTAAATCATTTATGAAATGAAGTCCTGATATGGGCCACAATATGAATGAAATGTGATGACATTATACTGAGCGAAGTCAGTCAGTCCCAGACAGACAAATGCTATCACTTAAGCGAGATAGGCAAATTTACAGAAACAGAAACTTATCTGTGGTTACCAGGTGGAAAGTTGGGGAAAATAAGGGGAATTACTGCTTAAGGGGGGACTGAGTTTACATTCATCACGATGGACTATCTTGGAGAAAGATAGTGATAATGGCTGTACAACATAAAAAGGGTAAATAGTGTTGAGTTCTACTGAACTTACAAGTGTTTTAAGTACACTTTCTTTTTTAATAGGCAGACTGCCACATGCAGCGCCTCATTTGGATGTGCCTGGAGTCTTGGAAGCTTGACTACCCTACGTTCTCCTACAAATGGATCTTGAGAGCTTGTTTGGAGGTTCTAGCAGGGGAGCGCAGCTACTCGTATGCCCTTGATCGAAGGACGGTCTTCCTTCTATCGGGGATGGCCGTCCTCTTCAACAGAGCGTGCAGCTTCGGGAGGGACGCACATGGATCGGTGAGGGAGGAAGGGGACACCCGCCTAGCCAGCCAGATCAGCCGAATCAACCCTGGCGATCAATGGGGTGACAGATGTCGCAGCCAGATCGCCCTCACATCCTTAAGTACACTTTCAGCAAAAGCAACCATTAAAGGCAGATGGGTAGAGTCTTCAGGAAGTGGCTGAAATGGAATCAGCTTTGGGTGTTGTTTTTGAATGCTCTGGAGTCAGAACTGACCCACAGCTGACTCTCCAGTGGGTTTTTAGAGGCATTAAATCACAGAGGAGGAGACTGTCCATCTTTCCGCCATGCTCTCAGCTGTGTACCACTGTGTTGGCAGTGCAACTCCTCACTTGATTTTACACTGGGGTCAGGCTGCCACAGGGTAGAGCTGGCTGTCCAGCTGGTCCCTGATAATCACAAGGCCACTGCCACCCTGCCACAAGGCTCTGTGCACCCTAGTGTGCACATATGTGCTTGGGATGATTAGGGGTGTCCAACAGGGCTACCTGAGACTTCTGGCTGAAGAAATCAGGATGGACAAGACGCTGTAGCTGCTGGTACCTGTGCTGAAGCTTCATGGTGTCAATCCTGAAGGACCGGTGGCTGGAAGAAAAGGAGCAGGTACAATTTATCAAACAAAGTAATTAAAGATTTGTTTTCTGTGGGAGATGGTTTCAAACAGAGGTAGGTGCACTGAATGAAAATAAACAGTACAAGGTCAGAGAGTTGTGTAAGAGCTGGATGCAGACATGACATCTGAAGAGAGATCTGCTTTTGGGTAGGAGTATTCAAAGAGCAGGGAGCTCTGGTGGCCAAATGGTTAAGAAGTTGTGCTGCCAACCCAAGGTCACGTGGTTTGAGTCTACCACCTGCTCTGTGGTGGGCTTTCTCCTCCCTGGCGACTCACAGCCTCTGAAAACCCTGTGGTGGGTCAGTTAGGAGCAGGTTCTGAGCGTTGAGTTATCTTTGTGGTCAGAAGTCACCCAATTAAAGTTTGAATTACTTAAAAAAAAAAAAAAAAGTCATCCAAGCAAGAGGAATCACAAGTGCAAAGACCCTGAGGTGGAAATGAGAATGGCAGTTGAGGAACCTTTTTTCTGGGACCTTTTACCACCATTCCCACATTCCTCTGCTCACATTAGTTTCCCAGCTTTTACTTCCTTTAAAGAGCCTCCCTGGTGACTCACTGGCTTGAGCCCACAAACCATGCAGTAGGACCAAGAAAAAGGGAGCAATCGGCTTCCATCAAGAGTTAGTCTTGAAAAGCTTTTGGGGAAGATCTACTCTGGCTTCTTGTTAGGGACCGACTCATAGGTGACCCTCCAGGGGTGTTCAGAGGCTGTAAAACACACGGGTGGAGATCGGTCATCTTTCTCTCCTGAAGCAGCTGATGGATTGGAACCGCCTTTGTTTGGGATGGCAGTGCAACTCCTTACCATTAGGCCACCAGAGGTCATTAACACTGTCCCAAGAGTATCCATCAGAATCCGCTATTCCCCACGGCTCTTCTCTCTTCCTCTTTGTTTTCACTTTCTCAATTTCACTCTTAACTTCTCTGACCTTTCTACTCAAGTTGCTTTAGTCCTAAATTCAATTGCTCTATCTCAGGCTTCTCCTCTGAAAGGGATCCTCCATTTTAAACACCCCAGATGCTTTAAAAGTCTCCTTCTCAGACCCGCCCCTAAGTTTTCTCGCCCTCGGGGCCCTTTCCCAGCCATCATTTTCCCCAGGTCCCGCCTCTGATCAGCTTCCTGGCCACTCCTACTTCCCCAAACCCAGGCAGCCCTTGGCAGGTATCTCTGCCTGTTCCCCGAAATCGCCACCCATACCAGTCCATGAGGCTGAAGTAATCTCGAGTGGGGTCGGGGGGCTGCAGCGCGCGGCACTGCGGGCAGAAGAACGTGTTCCCCCGCCCCGGGCCCTCGGGGCCGCGGCCGCAGTTCCAACACCGGGGGGTGTGGCTTCGAGCTTGCGATGTAGCATGGCAGCTCAGGGGTCTCCTCCCGGGGACCCAAGCTGACCATAACCCCCACACCCGAAGCAGGGCCAGAGCCCTCCCGCCCCACATCTGCGCACGGTCTCTCTCGTCGTGGTCACCGTGGGGCAAACAGTAGCAAGCAAGCAAATAAGCGGCCAGAACACATTTGCTGATTGGCTGGAGGGCGTGAGGGGCGGGATCAACCGGGAAGCTCGGATTCTGTGTCCCGCTTTGCATTCAAAACTACAATTCCCAGTAGGCACTGAGGCTCACATCCGCTGATTTTCATTGGCTATGTATAGTAGAAGGCGTTTTTGATTGGCCGAGAGAGAAGTTTGTACTACACACTTAGCGCCACTCGGCTGGCTGCAATTGCGGTGAATGTGTTGGTCCTGGTGGGCTCTGGGTGAGTCATAGTGGGAAACATTTCTTGGGTGTTTTCGAATCCTGTCCTCCAGGTCTAATGCTAGCAGAGTCTACGGAGCTTCCGCTTTGCGGAGTTTGGCATCAAGGAGGGGAAGCGCGTGCGTGAGCAGAATGACTTTCTTCCTCCTTTGCAGATAAACTTCGAGTTTACTTTCCCTTGTGATTTGCAAGCTCCTGCTTGCCCAGATCTTGCAGAATGGGAAGTTGCAAAATGTAGTCCTCCAAAATCAAAGCAAAGAGGTTTTAGAAAGAGTTCTGCGAGCCGTACTGACATTATTTAAACTCAATCCCGTAGGTATTTGTGGGGAACCCACTCTTCACTACCATGTGCCGCAAGAACGAGAAACTCATTACCCTGTATAAATGTGTAGGATGGCTTAGTGGGGAATGGGCAGCGTGCACTAGACCTCTTTGGGACTCAAATCTTTACTGAAAAAAAAGATTGTGTTGCACGTGTGAGGTCTTTGGAAATAGGAGGCGTTCACAGTCACGTGGCTTTGCAGTGGTCATCGGCGCCCTTTAAATCGCCTCTTTGCGTGACCTGGTTACAAAGTCATACTGCCCGTCATTTCGGTTCTAAAGCATAGTGACCGCGGTTTTAATGCATCGTGACCCTCCAGCTAGTTTCCAAAATTATAAATTTTAATGGGAAGGAACTGCTCATTTCCCTCCACCATTGAATGCCTTGTGGATTCGAACTTACAGCTTGCAGCTCCAGACATTGCACCACGAAGGCGTCTTTCTAATAAGAATTGCTCCCAATTATCATATAGTGTTGGAGTAGCTAGTGTGTTATATGCCTCGTTTTAATCCTATCTCTTTTTTCTGAGGGAGAAAATAGGCAATCTCCTCCAGTTAGATTTACAGCCTCTTAAAACCCAATGCAGGTTCAGCTATGAGTCAGTTCCAACCCCACAAAGTGTGTGAATTGGAGATTCAGAAGTTGAGACCTGCCTACTGTCATGCAAAGATTTGCTCCGGCCTCAGACCTTAAGTTATTATGCCACCATACTTTGTCCCAATCACAGAGGCCAGACTTCCTTTGTCATAAGCTTTAACACGTTCTTTTTTTAGTCATTAGAGGAGGAACTACATGCCAGTGAAGATCGGAAAAACTACAAAGGATCTTGCCTGCAAGATGCAGTTTTAGACCAGCACTTGGAGTGGCCCTCTTCTCTGGCATCACCTTCCTGGTGTGTTTGAAGGAAAGCTCATCTGGACCAGTCTTTCTTGAAAGCTATGTAAATACAGCAGTGTTGTTTACAACCACCATTCTCACTCTCCTTTTCTGAATGGTCCCTTCCCCCTTAACATAAACTCACTACCCGTTGGGTTTCCTATTTAACCTTATGGGTGCCTATTGCCAATTTGATCTCCTATAGACCTTCAAAGGGAGCTCTGGTGGCTTAGTGGTAAGGAGATGCATTGCCAACCCAAAACCACACAGTCCAAATCCACCAGCTGCTCTGTGGGAGAAAGATGGGTAGGCTCTTCTTGTGTAATTTACTGCCTCTGAAAACCCACTGGAGAATCAGCTGTAAGTTGCTTGCAACTTCATGGTATATAACAGACAACTTAGCATAGATCTTAAAATATCCCAGTGCTTAAGGCAGACAGAATTGTAAAAATTTTGGCAGAGCATATGTGCCCTGAATCGCTTTTCCTCCAATCATTGTAAATTGTCCATCCTTCATGTGTAAGGCTTATTCTTGTGTTTTGAGGTCGTGATGTCTCGAGAGGCAGATGTGGAATGTCAGCAGTCCCAGGATGCCTCTTCTCAGCCAGCTGCTGCTGCTGCCTCCCCGCCGTCCCATGGCCTATCCTCTCAGCCCCACAGCTCCTCGCAGTCCCCTAGCATCTTGCAGCCCCCTTCATCCTCGCAGCCCTGCAGCTCTTCACAGACTCATAACACATCCAGCTCCTCCTCTGGCACAGTAACCCAGTCCAGTCAGTCTTCTCACTCCAGTTCCGGGACTCTGAGTTCCTTGGATACAGTGTCCACTCAGGAGCTCTGCTCTATTCCTGAGGATCAAGAGCCAGAGGAACCACTCCCTGTCCCCTGGGCTCGGTTATGGGCCCTTCAGGATGGATTCTCCAATCTTGGTAAGTGCCTCTGTTACATGGTGCAGTGTTTTGTTCAGGAAAAAAATTACTCAAAGTTGTTCTAGCTGAGAGCTCCAGAGTCCTCCTCTACAGGGTCATTCTATAGTTAGAAGGAGAAGAAAGATGAAACTGAGAAAATAGCATTGAATAGTGTAGTAGCTCTTAAACGAATCTGATTTTGGGTTCCTTTTATTTATTCTTTTAAGGGACACTAGTGGCAAAATCTGTAGGGGAGTTGCACAGCTAACCTAAGATTTGTTTGGAATCCACCAGCCACTCTGCAGAAGAAAGCTGGACAGTCTCCTGTGTGATTTACAGTCTTGGAAACCTGCTGGAGGGTCATTTATAAGTCAGTTCTGATGTGGTGGTAGTGAGTTTGGGTTTTGCTTCTTTTAGCAAATGCTAATTGAGTTGAGGTGTTGGAGGAGAACACTGAACATCCCATGGTCAGCCAAGACAATGAATAGATACGTCTTGGAGAGGGTGCAGCCAGAGTGCTCTTCAGAGGCAAGAATGATGAGGCTTTGCCTCACATATTTTGGGTATGTTGTTAGGAGGGGCTGTTCCTTGGAGAAGGACATGATGCTGGGAAGGGTGGAGGGTTGGTAAAGAAGAGGAAGACCCTCAACCAGGTGGATTGACAGGGTGACTGCTGCAGTGGGCTCTTTGTGTGTGCAGGAAGTGTGAAGATGGCACAGAACAGAACTAGGTTCAGATCTTTGGTTCATAGGGTTGCTATGAGTCGTACTCAACTCGAGAGGGGGAAAAAACCCCCCAAAAGCCTCCAAAACAACAATTGAGTTCCGGATTGGACTCTCTAGACTGTTCAGAAAATGATAGCTTCACACAAACTTGCAAATATTTCTCACTGAATCTCAGAAACTTTGCCAGTTAATAACCTTGTGGTGGTTTGTATTGACTTTAAAAAAAATTTAATTTATTTTTATTTTGTGTGTGTGTGTGTGTGTGTGTGTGTGTACCGTCAAATCAGATTTGACTGGTACAGGAGGAGATTGTTCCTCCTTCTCCAGCAAAGCATCTGGTGGATTTGAACTTCTCACCTCTCAGATTGCAGTGCAGCTTCAGCTTCTTGCCACTAGGCCACCAGAGCTCGCTTTGACTTTAGCACATGAGTTTTAACGTTTCAGACTAGAGAGAAGATTATTTGTTGGCTACTGTTACTAGGGTTTGGTGTGTTTTTTTTTTCTATATGATTTTTTTTAAATTGTGGTTTGAATGGCTATTTACAGAGCAAACTGACTTCACATTCAACCATCCATACACATTTTGTTTTATGACATAAATGACAATACCCACATTGTAATCAAACTTCTTTCTATTTCCTCCTTGGAATTTTTGTTTTCCATTAATCCTTCTATCCTACCCTTTCTTGCCTTCTGAGCTTCGTCTCTGTACAGATGCTGTCCTCTCTTTTAGTAATTTTAATTACATTGAATGCTGCCCATTTGATAATTTTCCCCCTCAAAGTTATATTTTTAAAAAAATTTACATAAAGGTTTAAAAGTAATTTTTTTCTATACAGTCATTCAAAAATATTGAGTTTTATAACGTTGTCTGTGGTTAATTTTATTAACTAATTAGTATCTGAAAACCTCTTATTGTATATTTTTCCCCTTCAATCAATTTATCTAGTTATTCATTTTCACTTTCCTCTCCCTCCCTCCCTATCCATGTTATTCATATACTGTTAGTATTATCTTCTGGTAGACCGTTCCTTACCTTCTTTTTTTCTTATTTTTTTAATTAATGACTTTTTAAAATGCAACATATTCAAGCTACTGGTGGTAGTACTTAAGAATAGTTTGAGTAGAATGTTAAATAGTCCAGGAAGTATCAAAAGAAGATGGAAGGAGTACACAGTCACTGTATCAGAAGGAATTGGCTGACACAGAGGAATTTCATGAAATAACATATGAGCAAGAGCCTATGGTGATGAAGGAGGAAGTTCAAATTGCTCTGAAGGAATTGGCAAAAAACAAGGCTCCAGGAATTGATGGCATACCAATTGATTTATTTCAACAAACAGACGCTGCCATGGATGTGCTCACTAAGTTGTGCCAAGAAATCTGGAGGACAGCCAGCTGGCCAACTGACTGAAAAAAGATTGATATTTGTTCCCATTCCAAAGAAAGGTGATCCAGCAGAGTGTGGAAATTATCAAACAATACCATTAATATCACATGCAAGCAAGATTGTGCTGAAAATTATCCAAAAACGTTTGGAACAGTATGTCAGCAGAGAACAGCCAGATGTGCAGGCTGGATTTAGAAGAGGTCGTGGTACTAGGGATATTATAGCTAATGTCAGACGGATCTTGGCGGAAAGCGGATAATAGCAGAAGGATGTCTATTTGTACTTCATTGACTCTGCAAAGGCTTTTGACTGTGTGGATCACAACAAGCAATGGCTGACTCTGAGAAGAATGGGAATCCCAGAACATTTGATTGTGCTAATGCAAAACCTATACTTGGACCAAGA